AGAGTAGAGGGGGCAGCAGTGGAGGGGGCAGAGTGGAGGAGGGGGCAGGACCACCCGCTGGCGCGGCTCCAGCCGCTGGCGCAGGCCCACCAGCCCCTCTGTGCGGATGAGGCTCCCAATGTTGACAGTGGCCAGGGCCTTTGCAAACAGGCCAGGCCGGAAAGGTTCAACATTGACACCAGCTGCTTTAGTGAGGGCGCTGATCTTGTCCTCCGTGACCGTCACCTCGTCGTCCTGCAGGATGAGGGCGGAGTAGATGCAGGCGAGCTCGGAGACGGAGGCCATGTTGCAGACTGCCTGCAGGGTCACCGGATGAAGTGAGGGCCTCACCCCAACACGGCCTTAGCTTCCTCGGAAGAACCGAGGACCTTGGCGGCAGCTGAGGAAAGGGTCCCAGCTTTAAGTTTTAATTGAACTGGGAATACAAAAAAACCATTTGCGTTATGTGTCTGTAGGGAACAGCAGAAGCAAACATTTGGGAAGATTTATGAAATTTTATCCTGTTGGAGATGTGTTATACCAACAGGCCAATTTACTCCTTTTCTTGGGACATTTTCTCGGGATGATTCATCGTTTTTCTTCAGATGCCTCATTTGTCCAGTGTTCTTCAGATTCCTTAGCTGGATGCATTCATTCTCCTGGAAAGACAAAAACAAAACCCTGCCCCAACCCTAACTTTGGGGAGTTTTCCTTTTGGCAAGTTATATCTGATCAAATGAAAAGCATTTCTTAGTCTTATAAGTTATTTTAGATTGAATGGTCATGCTGGTTGATGAATTATCATCTCTTCTAATCAAGAAGTCTCCCGGGGCCAGGCAGTGGTGGCTCACACCTTTAATCCCAGCCAGCACTGGGGAGGCAGAGGCAGGCCTGGGCTACAGGGTAAGTTCCAGGACAGACTCCAAAGCTACACAGAGAAACCCTGTCTCGAAAATCAAAAAAAAAAAAGAAAAAAGAAGTCTCCCTGTTCAAATCTAATCTTTATCAGTTATGATGATATTCAGAGCTTTTCCTGTGGAAACAAAAGCAAGACCTATTCCCCAATGTAACACATATCCTTGTTTCCATTCTGAATTCAACACACCTTTGAAGTATACTGGCTGATTTAATTCAGGTTTTTCATTATCCAGTGTCTCTCTAAAGATGCCA